CAGGCAGATATATTCCTCATTTTGGCCTAAACACCTTAATATTTATACTTTCCTTCGGTGAAATTTTTTCATACTTTGCCACATCATGTAAATGAAATTGCCCAACATTTCAAATTGGTAAAAAGTCAAGGTTGTTCAAACGGTTTTTCCAATATTCTGTAATTTGTCATTCTTCTAAATATATTGGATTAGCTCTGACAGATTTTAACAAACATGGGTATTTTATAGGAATTGCATGTGGTTACAACTGAGCCAAATTTAAAAAAAATTCCCCAAAGGAAATGAGAGAAAATTCACTAAGTTTTGCTTTTTGTCCTCATGTTGACGTCATAAAAATCGAAAAACACTTATGTTTTCCTTTGAGTATGCACAGATTACTTGAGCTTTCGTCCTATGCATGCATGCAAGAGAATTTTAAGTGGGTGCTAGGCACTTGTAGACTTCTGGGATGATAATGTGATCATTCCCAGCATTCGGGTCCATCAGAGACATCCAAGCTTTTAGAGAAAGCCGCTGATAGTAATGTGCCTAATATCAAGCGGTTTTTCAACTGATGAAGGCTTAAGAGTTAGCCGAAATGTATTATGAAAATATACAAGTCATTTACCAAAAAAATGGCACTTTTATCAACTGCCTTAGCCTGTTTATGATGAAATCCCCTCACCCTGGAAACCATACCCTGTACACATATAAAATTACATAAAACTTTATTACCATGTCAAATTTTCAAGCTCAGGGGAAAAGTCTCCTGAGCTAATTGTGGAATGACTATCCAGCAGCACATCCTCACTGCGACGAACTAAGGAAGTCACTCCTTGGGATGTGTCTGGCATGTCAGGTCCGTGGTTAGATCTGGAGCACTTTCAAGATTACGTCAATATACCTCCATTTTTTCAGCTTTTTGTATGTATCTACAACCCTGGGCAAAAGTGTTGCAAGACAGTTTTATCAAACGCACTTAACCTTTAACAACATTTTTGGAATTTAGTCAGTACATCAGGAAAATGAAACTATTTTCTTGTCTCAACTAGTTTTCTCTGGGCTTGGAGCTTGGTTAATTTGAGCAAAAATTGCAAAACTTGTCAGGTGTAATAGTCTGTCTAATTAAGTTGTATAATTATCTGGTATTTGTTAGGTCTGCAACAAAGATAAAGAAGTCATCAGGATGTCCGAATTATTTAAGGTGTTTGTATATGGAACCTTAAAAAAAGGATTTGCAAATCACTACCTCATGCAAAATGGAGCAAATGGCGTGGTTCAGTTTGTAACAGCAGGACTTACTAAGGACGCTTTTCCACTTGTGGTGGGAACTGATGCATCAATTCCTTTTCTGCTTCCTTTGAAAGGTCAGGGAAAGGTAAATAAAAACATTTTCATTGTAATTATATGTACATTATGAGAAAGTCGTGATTAAAATGCATTAAACAGCGCATACTTTGGGAATTTAACTTATTTTCTTGAAAGTGGATGCAAAGAAAAAAATCTGAGACATTGTTGGAATATCTCACCCTAAGACCCTACTGCAGCTTTCTGATTCTTAAGAGAGGTAACTGTCTCAGAAAAATTAGAGCTTGATGTCAACCTCTTGTCAGAAGTATTTCAACTAATTTTTAACATAGTATTTTTTTTTTTTTATCTTTTTGTACCAGCAAGTTCATGGTGAGATCTATGAAGTGGACGGCAATGTTCTTAGTAAACTGGATGAATTAGAAGGACACCCTACATGGTATAAACGTACAAAATGTGAAATAATCACAACTGCGACAGCACCAGGAAGTCGAGCTGGAGATGTGTTATCATGCTTTGCCTACTTTTTAACTGATTTTACAGAGAAATTTTTGTCTCTTGACTTTATCAGTGAATATACCCAGGATTGTCACAAAATGTACTTGAAAAGTAATGATAGGCTTAATGTTAAAGTGCAGTCTCAAGGAGGTAAATGATCGATTATAAATTTGTGCAGGAGATCATTCAGCTGACCAATTAGCTTATTACCAGAATCACTAACAGCACTACCAGTATTGTTTTGCTCACCACTAATTAGTGCAACATCAACTATTTTTAGATCTTATTACTTTAATTTTGTATTTATTTTATTCTTTCCTCTCATATACTGTAAAATCCCATGTTAAAGCCCTCCGGTTATAAGCCCTTATATCTCCTAACAAAGATATTATTCAAGATTCACAAGTTCTTAATAATGTAATGTCCGGGAAATTGTGCAAGTTCAAACTTGTGACATGTGTCTTAGAACAGGAACAATGGCATAAGACATGCTTTGTGGCACTATAATGAACTTGGACTGACCAAACGTAGCACCGAGCCCTTGAACATTCAAAGTTTCTCATACCATAAACTTAAAAGGAAACATGTTGAAAACATGTTTTGATTTGAACTGAACATGAATTTTTATGACTTTTTGAATATTTTTACATTATTTTATGGTACACCCCTTCTGCTGATTAGGAAAGCAAGAGCTCTCTGTATCATGTAGATTCAGGATCCTGTTGTCCTGGTTCCTGCAATTACTTATTATAAGTGCAAGATATTAGCACAACAAGCACTTGCTTAGTATCCCATAAACTAACCTTGAATTTATGTCTTCTACGGTGAAGTGTGTCTGAAGTCGCTTATTCCTTAACCTTCATCAAAAGTCACCTGAAACCTTTTGGACATTCAACCTTCACTCAGGAATGACAAAATGAAATGTAATGGTGCTGGTTCAACATTTGTTTGTAGTGGTGAATGTTCAAACCCTGGGGGAAGGAGAGGTTTAGTCTCTATATGAAAATGAGATGGGATCATCTAGGAATTGATGATAAAGCCACGCTTTAACCATGCAAACTCATACCCCCACTCTGGTACAAGAATTGAAGGAGGAAAGGGGAGGGATGCATGGAACTCTTCCCCTAGGTTGTCATTGTAAATAGGACATCTCACAGGATCTCAAAGTTAATGTTCGTCATGAAGTCATCAGACGTCACGTGATGTCAATAAGATAGAAGTCTGCCATCTTGGTAGGCTCTGGTAGGCTCAATTTACACTGCTCTCTCAAAATAAGTCTACATTCTTCCCAGTCTTCTGTGGAGGAATGTGGGTGCCTTTCCCAAACAGTGGCCTACCATTGGCATCTTTGATCCACCATCTTGGATTTCACCATTTACTCAGAAGCTAGAAAAGGATAGTAATTATTATTCTTATTGATGAGAAATTAACAGAACATAATTCTGCAATGTTGTTCGAAGAAACATGAAAAATGAGTTCTGTAAAAAAACAAGAAATTTCGCTTCACCTGCATGGAGAGGAAGTTGACTTCAAAATCTTGGCAAAGGGTGAATGAACAGCTAATCAAAGTTTCAGCATCACAAAGTAATTATTCTTTTCAAAAATCTGAAAAAACCCTTCAAGGTGCTGGCCTATCAAAAAGTTAATATTAAAAAAGAAATCATTCTAGTACATGATCTGCTCCCATTAAATGCTGGAGAAAATGTATATGCTCAAAATTACAATTTACGTCCTTGAAATGATTTTTACTATTGCTAGTTCAGCTATTTCTTGGAGGGGGGGGGGGGGGTCGA